CTGGACAAATACGTGACTAGTTCTCCAGTAAAACCAGTTCTTCTCCTATATGTACAAAAAGTGAAGAAATAAAGCATATAAATGCTGAAAAGACCCTAAGCCGTCCTGCAGCTTTTCCCTAATGCAGTTCAGCTATGGCCATCCCACTGCACCTTCTGATACTTTGAGAAGAGCTGAAATGAGAGAATGGGGTGTTCACTGGCAAAGACAGTTCAAAGCTGGGAGTCTCTGATTCCCTACTAATAGTTCCTAAAATGCTAACCTTGTCTAGAAAGAGCGAGTGACTTTGCTAGTGTGGCACCTCATGGATCTGAGGTGTGCCGTTTCTCACCCCTTGGATGTGTAATGACATTGGAGAAGTCTGGATGAGGCTGACTGCCCATTAATACTGAACTGTACTCTTAAATAAATAAAAGCTAGAGTAAACATAATACAAAGAATATTCATTATATTAACAGAAACAGACAAAATCAAGAATTTCTTTAAACAGATGAACACTAAAGAAGTGGCACAGGCTTGGATGAGGATTTCAGTGATTATCGAATGTGGACTGAATTCTGGCCTTATATTGCCAGAAAAAAAAAATTATCACTGTGTAAATAATATGATCTTTATTTTAACATATCCACACTCATAATATTTTATAGTTTCCTGATGTAAAAGAAATCTTTCTCCCAACATGTGCAGCACTTCATGAGCTTAAAGGTAACATCTACCTGGAGTCATGGATACGCACATTATGCATAGTAGAGATTTAAGCATAGAAACCTATTGAAGACAGCCAACGTATTTCCTTCTGGCCACAAGGAAAACCAGATCATTTCCTATAGTAACAAGGCAACCACAATAGAAATATATTTTTGTATAATTCAGAACTATAAGATTGTAGGTTAATACCTATGTAAACATACAGACATTTTTTCCAGGGCAAAGAGTGAGCTTTCTATTTCATTTATATAAAGGAATATATATTTGAACGGGAAATCATTAGGAATAATTAGTTTCTGTGAACATGCATTGAGTTTGTCTAATGTGGCTTTATAGCATTAGCCACTGCAAAATAACATACAGAACAAATTAAAATGTTTAATTGCAGCTGAAATGGTCAATTTTGGAATGCAGAACAATAATGCTCACAAGGTCAAGGGAATCAGACACCTGAATGAGGAAGCGAAGCTTTAAAATACTGAGGAGGTTGAGAAAATTACATGCACACAACTACATACACATACGTGTTGTACCTAGGATGCTTTGGGATGTTTTTCTAAACAGCAACTTCAGCTGCCATTACAAGTGGTACTGAAATCATAGCAAATTCAAAAGCAATTTTGAGCTTCTTTTCTCAAGTGACACCATACAGCTCTGGGATAAATTACTTTCAGATGCTTTAAAAGTAATTTAAAGCATACCACTTACAATAAGGAAAACATTGTTTATGAATGTTTTATAATCGTATTATGGAAAAATCCATCTTTGCTCAGATGATGGCAATAAAAAAGAAAGATTGAAAAAAAGGCTTTGGAACAGTAATACTTGCCAGGTTATTCCCACTAGGTCAGGAGATGACAATAATGGCTTTTACTTATACCCAATACTGTTCATAAAATGACATCTACTTAAAACATCTTCAACAACTCCAAAAATTATTCTATTACAATATTAATAATTAAAACTTACTTCCAAAAATGGATCAAACATAATTTGCATATCGAGTAAACCCTGCAGGAGCTGGGAATATAGAAAGAACCAATATGCAAAGAAATTAGACTTAATAAATTTTGTAGCGTTTTATTCACCTCACTGGAGATAGTAATAGAACAAATCAGTAATCTATGATGATTTGAATTTATTTCCAGACAATATGATGAAATGGCAGAAGAGGGCAGGTGTAGCATGAAGGAAATGTTGGAGACCTGTGCTACCAGCCTGGCTGAGCTTTGAGAGCAGACAAAGGAGATGGCTTATTTGTGTGTGTGCTAAAGAGGTGGTCCTGGCCTGGAGGAGTTCAGGATCCATCCTGCAGCACCTGTTGGGTCCCCAGGGCCACTGGCCCATGGTGCTGCTCTGGGCAAAAACCTAGAGGCTCAAGCAGGAGCCAGAGAGCTGTGGCTGTGTGAGGACTCTACCTGAGATCCTCTGCAGAGCAGCATCTAGAGGGTTTAACCCAGCCATGTACAGAGTGACTGAACTTCAGTGTGACTGTGGCAGCAGAGCCACCTCTGTCACATGAGAGAAAAGGCCTGAAACAGGAGTTGAAGGGGATGGAGCATCACAGCTTCTCCACACTGTGATGCCACAGGTCTCATTGAGATAGAGACACCTTTTCCTCCCTGCTCAACAGCTTTTTGTAAGAACTACATTTATGAAAGAAGTAATGAGAATGGCTGCATTACTGAGTGAGCTAAGGGAGAAGGATGAAAAGTTTGTTGCCTTAAATACCTGAGTTGCCTACTTTGTACAGTGGTCCTTGGCATCCCTGAATTCTGGTACCAACCAGTTCTTTGGGGCACAACATTTGCTCTAACTTGATTTTGCTAGTGTACGCACCTAAATGATCATGTTGGTTGGTTTGGTTTTTAAGCACCAAGATAACTCATTTTTCTGTTTCCCAGAGCACACCCAAGTAGTCTGCTTCTTTCTGCAAACTCGTAGCACAGAGGAATCATGTAGCCTTTGTTTATAACCTGATTATGGAACTAATTTCCCTTCTCTTGTACTTGTATTCCTAAATTGTCATCTAACTGAAAATCTCTCTAAAGGCAGGATTTCCCCTCTATTCAAAATCAGAAAAATACTGGATCTCAAAAAGAAAAAATACTTTCTTAAAGCTTTACAAAAGTATAAAAGGTAATCTACAAGTAAGATGAAGATTTTAAACATGTTTCTGTGAAAGCAAATTCTCACTTCATCAGGAGTAGTGAAACAAGTTTGCCTTGAGGAGCAGCACTGCCCCAGGGCAGCTCTGGTGATGATTTGAGGGAAAACCACAGGGTATTTGGTTCCTTTCCCTGAGGAAGAGGAGGCCATGGGCCTCCTGCTCTGCCCCTGCCCTTCCTTGCATTCAGTGCCTCCCCTCTCCCTCCACTGCAGGCAAAGGAGCCAAAGAAATGGAGGGAAAGATAGTAACACCTGGGGTCACATCAAAGCCCAGAACAGCAGCCTTGTTTATCTGAATGGAGAGCAATGGTAGCAGTGGCACAATGAAGTGCCATTTATCCTCAGCTCCTTACACAACAATGCAGGAAAGTCATTTGATTAAAGGGGCAGCTCTGCACTTTATTGCTCTTGATTTCTTTCTTCTTCGTGAACCTCTGGATAAATTCAACCTGCTTTTCAAGAGCATCAGAACAACCACAGGAGCACTTGAGAGCTAAGGCAGTGGTGGGATGTACCAGACATACAGCTTGAGCAGTCACAGCATTGCACTGATAGAAACTGAGTATAAACATGCCCTTTAAAGCCTGAAGGGAGGAGAACTGATGTTTCTGTTTATGAAATTAATAGGTCCAAAAAGTGTAGCATGCTGAGACATCAGGCTATTAGCGGGAGCCCTGCTGACAGCCCACTTAGAGGGGAAAAAAAAAAAGCCAAAGCTGTGACAGCAGATTAGGTTGAGGAGTTGGAGCTTTTTGCTTCGTTTTTTTGAAGACGTATATAGGGAAGTCAGCAACCTATTTCAATGATTGCTTCCTCCAAGTCTAAAAATAACACACAACCCTGTACCTCTGGTCAGTCAAGAGCCCCGGGCAAACACGCAGAAGATGGAGGTGACACAGCACCCTATCCATGGGGACAACACTACTCTAAACAGCTTGGTGGCAAGGGGCAGACAAATGGCTATGTGAATAAGCAATCCCTTAATAGTTAGGTCTCCATCACCCTAGGCTAAAATTTCGATACTTATAGGCACCTTAGACCTGCTGAGGTCTTTCTTTTTGAAAGCAATTGATCTGTTTATCAATAGATTTTTTCCACACTAATTACCAGAACCTGGGGTAACTGCTTTAGGGTGAAGTATCAAAAATAAAATGAATACACATAACCGGTCACCAGATGTCACTGTCTTGTCATTCCAACATGGCCAGAAAAATATAAATCCATGAGCAGAAAACACACAGACATCCAAACAAGAGGTAGGAGAAAACCTGGAATATGAGGACACAGCTCCTTGCCAGGTCAGCAGAACGGGAAGAAGATGTCATGGTTTACTTTAACAAGTCTGTCAACTCTGTTATAATCACCGATTTATTACATTAATTTCCTCCCCATTGGTAGATGCTTCCGATTACCTTACAGTTGTAGAAACTCAGGATGATCAAGGACACTGAGCATGCTTCCACTGAAACCAGACAGGTCTTTATGGTCAAGATTACAGTAATCAGCTCAACTGGCTTTCTGAGGAACTTACTCTATTGCACATCTTTCAGGCAAATTCCAGTGCTGTGGTAGGTACCTACAGCTGGACACCCCTCAAAGTGATGTTAATATTGAGGCAATATCAGTAGCTCCTTGTCAAATAACACATCATCATTAAAAATACAGCTTGCCCACTGCTTGACTCCCTGCTGTCACAGGGAGGGATAGTTAGGCTATCACCTTGTCCTGGAGCAAGCTGTGGTTCACGTAACAGGCTGTTCTGGGCAAGGGCAGAACTTTCTAGGGCTTTAAACACTACTGCTTTCCATAAGAGGAATGTTTCACTGGTAGATTCAAATCCCCAGGAATGTGACTTTGAGCTGTTACACACCCTTTGCACCATTTTGGAAAGTGTTATATAACAATTTCAAAGGCACAGCGCGTAGTACGGGAACAGAGTGGGACTGTTTGACTGCAATCAGTGAACTAGAAAGGTGAGTTGATAGCAACCTGTAGTTGCTCTTAGATAATGTGGTCAAATTCACACTGAGGATTTTAAAAGTATCTACTCAGGCAGCAGGTTCTCCGGGGAAACGAAACGGTCCTTTGCATTGTGAGCCGCACGCACCTCAATCCTTTCTCACCTGCCCCACAAATTAAATGATTCCTTTTATTTGAGCTAAGAATACAACTTCTCCAAAACTGTTTTGCAGGGAGGGCTTCTCTCTATGCCAAGTGCTTTTGTAATACAGGGTAAAGACAGTCACTCTGATGAATATCTTGGAATCAGAACACAAAAGGCAGAAGGAAAGGAGTTTTAATTTTTTAAAAGAATGAAAAACTACAGCACAGAAAGACTAGTGCTCACGTTTCCAAAAGGGGTCATCAATTAATAATTGTTTCCCATTTACAATTATTTTAAAGGACCTGTCCTTTATCAATTTTACTAAGATCATACTGCAACTCCTCATTAAAACTGACAAGCTTTAATGGGAATTCTGAGTCCAATAATATGCCATCCACTTTTAATACAGTCCTTTACATTTGCAAATCTCAGAATGACTGAAAGTCAAAGATGTAACATTCATTTTAAAATGGGGGGATTGGGACTTCTGACTGATTTGCCTACCATGACCTAGATAGACGACCAAGGGCAGAGCCGGGGATTGAATCCAGTTTTCATTACGCCGTGTCTAGTATTCTGCTCTGGTCAGCCTTGCTGACTAATAAGAGCATTATCTTCTGGAATAAGGTTGAAATTTTATGGACTTGTAATGTTCCCATTCATAAAAATACTCTATAATCTTCCATAAAGATGGAACAATACAATAAACTGCTGAAAATCTTCATGCAAGAACTGCACCTTACAGCTTAGGAGAATTCTCTAATTGCAAGCATTTTTACACTTAAAAAAACCCACAAGAGGTATCCTACACAGAGAATGAATGATGTAATGTCTCTGCATGTTACAAAAGAGTGAAACAAATCCTTCCCAAATTCATCATGATGCACAATGAAAGAAACAGCACACCTCTAAATGAACTAACATGTCGTACGCTTTCCCCAGTTACGAGGCATGTGACAGCATTATCAGTCAACCTCTCTGAACGTCCTCCTGCCTCACTCCTTGCTTTGCTTCAGTGAAGTAAAGGAATGCGTATGCCTGAAGTGAATCAGAGACTTGACAGCTTGTGCTTGGGAACACCCAGCTTGGCTTGAGGTAAGGTCAAGTGCTCTTAAAGCTACCAGATGTACTACTAAGGACTGCTGCCTTTATCCATTTTCAGCTGCTTTAGTTGTCTCCTCAGTTGACAGATACCTGTACACACATGTAATTAACTTGGAGACAGGGAGATTTTTGGATTTGACTATCAGCACAAGAAAGAAAAAAAATCTTCTGTTTATTATTTCAAATTTTGCCTTCAAGTAGCATCAAGGCTACTTTGGAGTCAGGCACTATAATTTTTGGTATAGCTGAAGACTCTTAACATTGGTCCTGTAAGTTTTCTTAGTGATGTTCATGTGAAATGCTGCTGACAATAATGAAGAGTTGCAGGTTAAGACTTCTTGCTTTGGACAGGCAATAGTCAAGTACTTTTATAAAGGTACTGCATGCCACTAACAGAGGAGCTATGACTGACTCAGAAGACTTCACTAAGCTGGGAAGGAGCTTATACTGTATATTAATTTGAGTTCTTATTCTGGAACAAAGTAAAAGCTTTCTGGCTTGTAGCTGTTACAGAAATGCGTGCAATTATTTTTTTTTTTTGGTGGCAGTTTTACCTCCATTAAAGCTCAGAAAAAACATAAATATTTGTAAAATGGGAAAGGCTGAAATGCTAGAGGAAAATGTTGTTGAGCAATGATAAATTATGAGGGGAGAAAAGCCACCAAGCTTTTCTGATTGCAATTTTACATTCAGATCTCATAGTAACACCTAGAAATTTCAATCCAGTTACAACCCCAGCACAACAGTCATTGTCCAAGAGTATAGCAAGTGACAGCTCCTGTCCCAAGGAGATCAGCATGTTAATACCAAGTGATTTAGAAGATGCAGTAATTTACATTAAGCATAAAATTTGCCCTTAATGCAGCCAAGACCTATTCATTGATCTCCAAGGAATGAAATTCTGTGCTAGCATTTAGTTACGCATGCTCTATCGAATGCCTTTGTGAACTATGGATATTCATTTTGTATCACTAAAAGTAATTTCAGATGACCTACCTTATTTTCAGATAAAAAGCAAGTGCAGTAAAGTTTATTTAAACAAACTCACTGTGGATGAAAATCTTATTTTCTAGTAGGAACACTCAGAAAAAGGCAGCATCCATGTGGTCCTTAAAGTGGTCTTGCACAGTTCAGTGCTACATTGAAATCTAATTGAAAGCAACTGGACTGAATTAGATAATACAGAACCTTAACTAAAGAATCAAAACGGCTAAGTAAGAGAGTAGCTGAGCAATGTGTGTGATGACAGAAGCACCTCATTACTTTGTCAACTGGAGTCACAAAGAGAACAATAAACACATTAAGCGCAAATGCCTTACTGAATCTTATCAGTAGGGTTTTTAACAGGGCTTAGTGTTTGTCTCCTCTCCCACTGGGGCTAACAACATCTTGCCATTATCAATGGGGATAGATGTATCCCACGGGGGAGTTAATGGGGACAGACGTGTCTTGACCCACCAAAAAAAAAAAAAAAATTAAAAAAATCCCCAAACCAGAAAAACACACCTAAAAAGTATTGAAACTTGTAGAATCCTTTGCAGAAGATACATGCACTGTAATGGATGTAACCACTGTATCCTTTACAAGGCCATGGGTATGGGGAAGTACTTTGTCCCTTTGTGGATTAAGCAGTGACGCCAATCTCGGGTCTCAGGCTATTCAGGGACCCACTCTTCAGCCTCAGCATCTCCCACCCTCTTCAAAAGTTCAGGGAACCACTGGCTCCCAGAGTTGTTTATGAGTGTGGGAATTAAATGGATTGGGGTAGACAGGAAATCATGGTAGCACCTCAGTTCAGTACGGGGAAGTCCTCACTTTAGCAGTACTTTAGAACTTGCTTAAATATTTTGCTATCCTGAGGAAAAAGTAAAACACAAGGCTGAAGGTGTCATTCTGCATCAAAAGGTCAAACTCTCTTCTGTCACAAGCGCTGTGTCCATGAATCCTCTCCATAGGGGTACTGAAGCTGATCTTAAAGAGAAGTTGGGCTCTTTTCCCTTAGTCCCTTATTCTGATGGAAAGGCTGCTGCTGCTCCTCAGTGCTGTTGTGAAAGGGAACCTGCTTCTAAACTACCGGTCTGAAAGTATTAATGTTGTGTCTATATTTATTCTTGTATCGCTATTACCCTCCTCTCTCCCTTCATTTTCATTTATATATAGCAGTGATATTCCTATTCAGACTTCACTCCATGAGAATGAATGAGAAAGCCTCTAGCTTCCTCCTGCATGATCAACTTTCCATTCTCCCAATTATATGAGTAATCTGCTGCTGCTGCTTTTCTGATTTTAACTCATCTTTCTTGAGCATAAATGAACAGAACTGCAAACCTAAGCAAAAGGAAGCCATGTCAACACTTTGTTCAGTGCCTTAAAGCTTTCCCTCCTTGTCAGGAATTTGACTCTACTACATATTAAGTTTTAATGTACTTATTCTGCATCATCTGCATGATGCTGCAAAGCACCAAGCTCTTCTTAAAGCAGAAGACAGAAATTAGCAGTTGCAGGAAGATCCACATGCGGGAATTGGATCCAGTGTTCACTTTAACTCTGCTTCTCTCAAAAAAACCTTCCCCATTTATGAAACATACAACATAAAAGGAAAAGGAGGGACAGAGTGTGAATTCTGCTGTCATTTAAAAGTACTTCTGAAGAACATTGGCTAAAATGTCATAATATTTTCTTTAACACCATTAAACATTCTATGAATTCAATCAACATAGTCATTGTAATTACATAATTAAAACTCAGAACGAAATAGTGTAATTGCTGTTTTATGGCCATCATTACATAATGAGTGGTTTTATGGCAATCTCAGCTAGCTCTGGGTTTGGGTAATTTTAAGAAGTTGTTGATTTCCACAATACCACTCATGACTTGATCTAGACTACTTAAAAAACAAAGGAACTCTTAAAAGCGTTGTTTGTGGTTTCCACTTTTAAAAGATGTGAAAGGAGCCTCCTTCTGAAAGGGTTCAAAAAAAGCTTAAACCTCAGAAAAGTGGATTTTTTTAGAGGCATGAACAGCCAGCTTCCAGCTGATTAACAGAAATGTTCAGCTCGGAGAGATTTTTAATGAAGACAATAAGCCCCAGAAAATACCCATTTACGGGTAATATATAACTTAAATCGGCAGCTCAATCATGGAGTCTCAGCCTCCCACACACCAGATTACGTGCTCAAGATCTGAAGCACAAAAGACAGCCCAAGGAAGAGAAGGGGACAAAAATAATCTTTGTGTGTTTATTGTGCCTCTCAAATATTGGTTCAGCTTGAGAGGCTTTCTGTCCTAGTGCTGCCTCTTCCAGCTACCCAGGAAATGCTCACATCTTTCCTTCTAGTTCCCTCCCGTCCCTGTGCTACACCCACCAAGCACCTTGCAGGTGGAGGAGCACTGGATAGCATTACACCTCATTCCTATTTTGTGGGAGTTGCTATGGGGCCTGTTAATCCCTGCAATTTTAGGAATGTTCTGCTTAAGAATAGTATAAAGAGCTTTGAGATGAATGGTAGCAATCAAGCAATGCATATAATTCCTTATGACAACATTTCTGGGCATCACAACAGAAAACAAACCAGGCAACCAACTGCCACTTCTTATTAGACCCTGTACAACCACAATTGCATAAATATTCCTACATTATACAGCAATGAGTCTAAAATTGTTGCTTGTGGAGATGAACTAGAGCTAGCGAAGCAAATAACTGTATGCACACATAACACCAAGCACAAGATCACATTGCAGGCTACAAGTCTGAGAAAGAAACTAAGCTCTGGACAGGTTAACTTGCACAGTTTTTGTCAGTCCCTAGCCTAGGTGAGCTAAGATATGCCTACATGAGCTTAGATCAGACCTTTAACTGGTAAGCAAATGTATTTTTGGATTATCTCTTTCACTATTACCAAAAAAATAATACCTGTGGTTGCATGAAAATCTCATCTACTCCCATTTCCTATACTACAGAATATCCTGGTGTCAGTGCTTGGTTTTTTTCCTTGCCAAGGAGAATAAAACTACAGACATGTCCACCTAAAACCAAAAAAAGCAGCTGTATATTAG